TAATAATTAACAATTATTCCACGAGCGCGCGTTGGATATGAGATGATAGATAGCCAACGAGGCGCGTAGCGCCGAGTTGGCTATAATCATCTCATATCCAACAAGCGCGAGTGGAATAATTGTTTTATTAAAAACGTTAGCTTAAATTATTAAATTTTATTAAATTTAGCTCCCTTTTAATTTTAAGCTGATACGTACGCTTACCATATTTGTAGATTATGGTATATTGGCTGATATACCATAATGGCTAAGCCAATAAAAAGTCTTGAATTGCATTATCCAATGAGCTAGTTTTTAATAATCACGAATATCTAATGTGTTAACATGTGTATTAACTGGAGTAACACAAGTCAAAATTTACTCACGTATAAAATCGATGACAAATCCCTTTTTCCATTGGCGTTAAACCACTCTTACGTTCATTGAAGTCGACATTCTCCGAGCATGATTGTGAGAAAAATTTCGATTGGATTTTAAGCGTTTGCCGTTTTAGTGTTTTTGATGAGAAGAAAACGGGGCGTTTCGAAAACGCATAAGTGTGGACGGGGTTTATTAGTAAAACCCCGAAATTATACACAGGACGCTCGGGCCGCCTGTGATTTGACAAGTCCAATAACTACTCGCTGTGGATTAATGAGTAATTGGGTGATTTAGACTCATAGTTCGGTTGTTGATGTCTTCTTTTTCCAAACTGGACAGGCATTTTTTACCAGTGGAGTATGTCTAACTTTCTATGCTGCTTGAAGAAGTTTTTTCTGACTTCACTTAACCCTTGGCGTATTTATCAATTTTTTTTTCAGTGTAAAAATCCACACTTTCGCGTGTTTTTGAAAGAAAACCTTCCCAAGCGACTTCATTACTCTGATAACAGGTAAACGTCAGGTTTATTGTTTAGTTCACTCGAGCGTTCCTTAATTAATGGTAAACTCTAGTCCCGAATGAATTCGATCTTTTCGTTTTTTTGTTTTCCCGGTTTGCTCACGCCTGTTATCAGTTCAAAATGTATCAATGACATATCTTGGGTGAGATGTGAGGCCAAAATAAAACAAGTAAAATAGATGCTAATTGATACAATAAAGTTCATGGTTTTTCAATTATTTCTCTTTAAAATCCATGACAAAGTTGAAGGAGGAAGGGTAGTAGTGAAGGCTATAGAGCCTGAGGGCCATATAGACACACGGACGAACGAACGCTTGAAATCGGCGAACAAGTAGACAAGAGTCTTAGCCCTTGGAGGACTGAGGCCTTTATTTATTTCGAACACTAAGAAATAAGAAATTCCAAACCATTACCAGACGAAAAAAGAAATTCCAAACCATTACCAGACGAAAAAAGAAAAGATGATGAAATAAGGAATGGATTAAAGTGCTCTTTATCGAAAATCATATCATTTAAACAATTAACCTTGGTATTTTCAGGTTCTAGATTATTTTTCTTTTTGCCAAATCTGCTGCAACGAATCGAAAGTCGTGTCTGATACTGGTTTTCCTGGGTTTTAAGGGCAGGGGGTGGGAGGCACTTTTGGAATTGAATTTGTATTCTGTGCGTGTGCGAGAAAGGAGATTGAAGACGCACTTAAAGAAGTATGTTTTAGAACCAATCATTGCCAGTGGCTGTGCGTAGGATAATTCATCTGAATTTACTGCATTCCAATAATTGTTTTAGACATTTTGTGTTCTTGAAGGCGTCTCTGATTTTCTATTTTTCAGGAGGATTGGACGAATTATCCTAATTCCGGAAGACGGCTGGTTGGTAGGATTTAAGTGAGTGCAATGCGTCATGTAATAGTTATAAATACCCATTTATACTGATGATTTCGAACACATTCTAAGATAAATGAATAAAGGGTGAAAGTTTCTAAACAAACTGTGGTGCTGCGTGGGAAGGGGGGGGGGTAACAAGGTAATTTGGTTATATCAACTAAGTTGAAATTGTAAATTAGTCACCGTAACTAGTTAAAAGGCTGACCTTTCGAGAGTTAGCCCTTCGCTCTAACGAAGGGCTAACGCTCGAAACGTCAGCTTTTTGACATGTTACAGTGGCCAATTTACAGTTTTAACTTAGTTGATATAACCAAATTACATTCTAAGATACGTGTGTCGAAACGCCTTTTGGAGGGATGTAAGTCCTTTGAATGTGGTAGAGTTCATGGCTCGAGATTGTTGCAACAATATTTTTCCAAGGTGGATTAATCAGGTTCAGATAATTTGGTTTTATCAATTGAGTTGTCGATATAAATTAGCCACCGTAAAGAGTTTCAAAGCTGACGTTTCGAGCGGTAACCCTTTGGTCAGAGCTGAAGATGATAGGCTGACGATCGAAACTTCAGCTGAAGAAACTTATTAAATTAGCTAATTATATCTCATTAACCAAGCGCGAGGGCCGTATTGGGAGAATATCGGCCCGAGGGCTGATAATCTTCCGATATTCTTCCAGTACGGTCCCGAGCAAGCTTGGTTGATAAGAGATTTATTATACGACTGAAGTTCAAAGGGACACAAGTGCGGTGTCATTCGGGACCATTCGGGACAGTGCCCGGTCTAATACTTAGAGAATATTGACCGGCAATAGAGCATTTTGATTGGTTGATTTTAGTTATTGGCCCTCTGACTGCCCGCGTCGTGTAATAATTGACATTATGAGCCTAGTTGATAACGCCAAATTAGCTGATGATAACCCACAGCAGTGTACTTGTTTATAAACCTACCCTCTTTAATTCATTCGTTTATTTCTCAGTTGTGATTTGTTTTGTTCTTGCAAGTTCCACTCGTGGGATCTGGTACTGTGATGGTGGAGATCATGGCTACAACAACATAGATCATAACATGCGGGTATGAACAGTCTTAAACGATACAAAAAATCCTGGAATTTGAATTTATACTCGCGTACATATGTAATTTATCTCCTAAGCATGTTGTAATTTATTTCTCATTTTGTCGTTTGGCTGCCCTCTCATCCAGGAACACACTTAGGTTGTTTTCCTTTTGTTCTCTATATTAATGCCAGATATTATCAACGCTACCGTTGCTTTTGACATCAGTCTTCGGGCCAAAATTAAAAGGTAGAGCCGAAAACTTTGTCAGTTGATTGGTTAGTTTCGATTACCAATCACAACCGAATTACGTATTATTGCCTATCATATTGCGGCAAAACTGATACGTCATTATTTTTTCTTTGTTTCCAGACTCTTTTTGTAGCTCATGGTCCCGCTTTCAAGAAAGGAGAAGTAGTAGATCATTTCCTTAGTACAGAACTCTACGGCATGATGGCAGGTAATTTTTTTTCTATGTTCAAGCGCTTAGATGTCATAAAACGTCAAGCCAAAGCTAGGTCACCTTATTAAGGTTATAATAACCTCAAAAGATTACGGTCTAAACTGTTCGCGGTCGCTTAAACGTTGTTCAGCCCGTTTTTGGTGGCTGTTAGCTAAATTCGTTCGACCTCTGATCGCAGTATTCCGTTCTTGCACTAGTTGGCGAATTGTTGGTGGTCGGAAAAAGGTAGAAAAAAAAAGGTGGAATGTAACTTATCTTCGGCCTCGCATCGAGATGCTCAGCTTCCAGCCTTGATCGGCGATTGTTCGGTGACAAAGATACAGCAGTCAAACTTAGAGTAGGGGATCAATTTACGCTGCTCTCGTGCATCAATTTTCCGGGCAAAATTTCAAAGGAAAGCATAGGAAACAACCGCTGTGTCGTAAAAATAAGAGAACGAGAATTGTTCATAAAGGATCTGTAAATGAAAAAAAAGAGGGGAAAGCAAAACTCGAGCCTTTTTCCAACACAAAGCTTATTTGAGTGCGTTTATCCTGTTGATTTACCATGTTTTGAGCTTTACCGAAAAGGTTATACGCTTCTAAAACATCGTGAAAACACGCCACAGTCTGAAAACACGCCAGTTAGTCCTTACAAGGTCCGTACATGCGTAGACGTTTGACCTCTGTGATGGTGGCAGGATGGAACCGTTTGGCAAGGAAGATTGCCAAAGATTGCGCGATAGTCATCGTTGGTCGGATAATGACAAAAATTTGGCAAGTTTTGAGTTCGTATTAAACCTACTAGGTTTTTATGAATCAATTGTGGGAATTTTTAGTATGATTAATGTTTGACTAAATATCGTAGCCTTGGGATTATATGATGTTATTTCCCCGCAGTTAAAGGATAACCTTCGTGGTTATAATATTTTCCAGTCAAATTGTATTGTACAGTGTATTGACACGCCGCCTCTAGTACTATTCTACTACTATTAACGCATAATTTATTTTTAAATAAGAAAACGATCGTCTCTGGATGCGATTTGGGAAAATAAAAATTGCATGTAAATCTCTTTCGATTGAGCGCCACCCTTGAAAAGAACAAAAAAGTGATAAACGAGGCGGAGCCGAGTGTGTCCCTGATGTTCTTATGCCAGCTAACGACGTCATCAATGCGTCTGTGTTGATGACAAATAAGAACTAATCAAAATGCGTGCGTAATTCCGCTTCTGACTTAACTGAAATTAGCGCTTTGGTGCCTCTCCGAGGACAGAATGGAATTCATTGAAATGATCTGCTGTAGTGTGAATTTATTTTATCTCCTTATTGAGTATAAATAATATGACTGATGGACCGTGGTTAGAAACATTTTATATCCGAACCAGGTCAAACCGGTTTCGTTGATGTATTGTCTAAAGAAAAAGCCTCTTGCTTAATAAGCTTACTGCCAGTCCGTGTTCAAAAGGGGGACGGGGGCACTAAGTACGATTGTTCACTGGCAAGTAATTACGAATTGGACGATCTATACATTTCACAACAGAAAAACTAAAAGACTGCAACAGCTTGCAACCCTGCAGGGTTGCTTGTAACGGTAGAACTTACGCAACAGAAAGAATACTATCCTGAATACTATGAACTATCCTARGKTYYYCMWTTTKKWAWTTTKTTWWT